AACATCCAACAATTATGATGAAAAAAAGAAGCTAACCAAGGCATATCCTTATTAAATTACCAGAATTCCAAGAAAAAAACAGAATTTTATAAGCAGTCAGACAAAACCAAAAAATAAAATATAAATGTAACCAATTAGAATCACAGCAGACTTCTCAACACAAAGCCTAAAGACTAAAAGAGCTTAGAATGAAGTATTTCAAGCCCTAAGACAAATAATTTCCAACCCAGCAAAGCTGTACTTTAAACTACATGGAGAAATAATGTATTTCCATAAAAAAGACCAGCTTAGAAGATATATGAGTGCTAAATCAGCTCTAGAAAATACTTAAGAATATTCTCGACAGAAACAACAAATCAGACACAGCTCAAAACACAGAACCTAGTGAGGTCACAGCAACAAAAAAAATCAGGAAAAGAAAAAGGATACAACAACAGATAAAGAAGACAATGATAGTAAATAATCAACACATGTTAGTAATATCTCTGAATGTGAATGGCCTCACCTCTCCAATTAAAAAGACAAAGAATGGAAGATTGGATCAAAAAACAGGATCCAACAATCTGCTGCATTCAAGAAACTCATCTAAAAAATGAGAACCAAGACCTGTCATGTAAAGGTACAAGATTCCAAGGATGCATGTAACTGTACTGTATACCTAAAATGTACCAATAAATTCAATGAGAAAAAAAAAAGAAACTCATCTAATCCAAAAAGACATTCATATATTAAAGAATGGAAAACAATATTTCATAAACCAGGGCTCCCAAAACAAGCAGGGTTAGCAATACTAATCAAATGAACACTAACACCATCAGAGTAGGTGATTTTAACACCTCCATTTTAACAAAGAGATAGATCAACCAAACAAAAAACTAATGATGAAATTTCAGAGCTGAACCACACCTTTGAACACAAGGACTTAAGGGCTATATGCAGAATATTCCTCTCCTCTACAACGAAGTATACATTCTTTTCAGCAGCACATGGTACTTTTTCCAAAATAGATAATATAGCAAAAAGCCTGCTTAAGTAAATAAAACACCATAGAAATTGCCCCAGGCATACTATCAGAAAAGTGTACAAAAAAAATAGAAATCAACAATAGAAGAAATTTTAGAAAAGACAAAAACTCCTGGAAAATTGTTAACATACTCCTTACCAATGGGTCACAGAAAAAAAGTCAAAGAAGAAATTTAAATTTTTTCTTAAGTTAATGACAACGACAGCACAGCTTGACAAAACTTCTGGGACACTATGAAAGCAAATCTAAAAGGAAAATTCATTGTAATCAATGCTTATATTAGGAAAACAGAGCAAGCTTAAATAGACAGCCATATGAGAAATCTTAAGACACTTGATAAACAAGAACAAACCAGCCCCAAACCAAAATTAAGAGGGGAAATTACAAAGAGCAGAAATCAATGAAAACTGAGAATTAAAAAACAGTAAAAAAAAAAAAAATCAAATTGAAAAGCTGATTCTTTTATTACTTTTTTTTTAATTGAGACAGGGTCTCACTATGTAGTTGAGACTGACCTGGAACTCACTGTGTAGCCCAGGCTGGTCTCGAACTCACAGCAATCCTCCTGCCTCAGCCTCCCAAGCGCTGGGATTACAGGTGTGCACCACCATTCCTGGCTGAAAAGCTGATTCTTGAAAGAATAAATAACATAGATAAAGGCTGGGGATTTAGCTCAGTGGTGCTGCCACCTGCCTCGCAAGCACAAGGACCAGAGTTTGATCCCTGGTACCAAAGGGGGGAAAAAAATAGATAAGCCCCTAGCCAGACTTACCAAGAGAAAACAAGAAAAGATTCACATCAATGCAATTAGAAACGAAAAAATTGAAATCACAACAGACACTGTGCAAGTCTAGATGATAGTAACTATGTCAAAAAATTATACTCCAAAAAATTAGCAAGTGTTGAAGAAATGAAGATTCCTAGATACATACAAACTATCAAAAGTAATCCAAGAAGACATAAATATACTTAATAATCCAATAATAATCAATGTAATTGTTACAGTCATAAAGAATATACCAACTACAAAAAGCTCAGGGCTTGATGTATTCATTGCTGAATTCTACAAAACCTTTATGGCGGATGTTATATGTCAATACTCCTCCAGCTCTTCAAAGAAATGGAAAGGGAGGCTCTCATTATCTCACCCTGATCTCAAAACAGATAAAACCCCAGCTTTAAAAAAAAAAAGTATAGGCAAATCTCCTTAAGGAACATAGAAGCAAAAATCCTTAACAAGGTATTAGCAAATAGAATAGTGCAATAACACTATTAGTGTACTAATAGTGCAAATAGTGCATTATCAAAAAGATTATACATTGTATCAAGTACATTTCATCCCAGAACTTTAAGGATGGTTCAACACATGTTAAGTCAATAAATGTAATCCATCACATAAACAGAAGGTCAAAAACTATATGAGCATTTCAATAGATGTAGAAAAGTCTTTCCACAAAATCCAACACCCCTTCATGATAAAAGCCCTGAAAAAAACAGGTATAGAAGGACTATACTTGAATATGATAAAAGTTTTATAAGACAAATCAATATCCAGTATCATACTAAATGGGGGAAAACTAAAAGCAGTCTCCCTAAAATTAGGAACAAGACAAGGATGTCAACTATTGTACTATTCAACATCATACTTGAAACATTAGCCATAGCAATTAGGCAAGAGAAAAAATAAAAAAGGATACATATAGGAAAAGGAAGAACTTAAATTATTATTTGTAGAGGACGTGATATTCTACATAGAAGACCCAAAGAACTCTGTTAAAAAAAACTTTTAGAATTATTAACAAACTCCAGCAGTGTAACAGGACACAAGATCAATACACAAAAGTCATTTGCATCTATGTACACCAACAATGAATGGGATGACAAGTAAATTATGAAAATAATAACATTCATAGTAGCTCCAAGAAAAATGAGATATGTAGGAATGACCCTAACCAAGGAAGTGAAAGACCTACTCTGAAAAAGGAGATTGAAGAGGACAACAGAAAACAGAAAGATGTCCTCTGCTCCTGAATAGGCAGAATCAATATTATCAAAATGACCATACTCTCAAAACTATTATACAGATTCAATGCAGTTCCAATCAAAACACTAACAGCACACTTTAGAGATCTCGGAAAAAAAATTCTAAAATTCAAATGGAACCAGAAGAAACCCAGAATAGCAAAAGTCAGTTTAGGCAATAGGAGTAAAGCAAGAAGAATAGCAATACCTGATTTGAAGCTATACTACAAAGCTATAGTGATAAAAACAGCATGATATTAGAACAAAAACAGATATGAGGATCAATGGAACAGAACTGAGCATACAGAAACTTCCCCAGACACATTAAACTATTTGATCTTTGATAAAGGGGACAAAAGCATATGTTGGAGGAAAGATAGCCTATTCAAAAACTGGTGATGGGAAAACTGGTTATCTGCGTACAGAAGATTAAAAATAGACCCGTAACTCTCACCATATACTCAATTAAAATCAAAATGGATCAAAGATCTAAACATTACAACAGAAACATTAAACTTACTAAAAAATAAAATAGGTAAAATATCTGAAGACATAGGTGTAGGTAAGGATTTTCTAAACACTAGAGAAATGAAAATTAAAACATTTAAAAAAACAAAAACTAAGATTTCATTTTACTCCAGAAAGAATGGCAATCACTAAGAAATCAAATAATAACAAATGCCAGAGAGGCTGTGATGAAAATGGAACACTCCTTCATTGTTGGTGGAAATGTAAACTAGTACAGCTACTATGGAAATCACGGAAATTTCTCAAAGAACTGAAATTAGAAATATCATATGATCCAGTGATCCCCCTGCTAGGTATCTTCCCCAAAGAGCTTAAGATATTATACTACAGCAATACATACATATCCATGTTCATAGTAGCACAAATCATAATAGCTAAATCCCAGAAACAGCCTGTATACCCATCTACCCATCACGCATGACTGGATAAAGAAAATGTGGTATCTATTATAATAGATTTAATTATAATTTAATTATAATTATTTGCTATAAAGAATGACAAATTTGAGACATTTGTAGGAAAGTGGATGCACCTGGAAAACAAAAAGTTGAGTGAAATAAGCCACACATATAAGCTTAAATACTATATGGTATCTTTCATTTGAGTGAGGCAAAGTACAAACAAAGAAAAATAAAAGATGAGTACAAGGGTACAAAGAGATGGATCTCTTGTAATAGGGAAGTAATCCAAGGGAAAAAGTACAAGGGATGAGAAGGAGGGGAAGGATAAACAAGTAGAATAAAGATTGGGAGGCATAGGAACCCAATAACCTCAATTAATGTAAACATTTTGTGCCATAACATAAGCTAAATCAACAAGAATAAAAAATGGATTAGGGGAATTAGAGGAGGAAGGAGGGAGAACGGGAATAAAAAAAAAACAAGCTGTGGTATATACATGTAACCATTTCCCAAGACGATGAGAAACTGCATGGACTGCAAATATGTACTAATACAATTGAAAAATTTTAAAATTCAGCTAATAAAACAAAAGGAAAGACTTTTAAAAATTACAATTTTGTGGCACCTAATGAAATAATGGATTTACCTAAGAATCATCAGAGGTTGCTAAAACTATTAGGTGAAGAACTAATGGCAAACTTTACAAGGAAGGAATCAGACTAAGGCTATCTTAACCCACTAATCAATTCTGACATACAAAGGAAAACCAGCTATCATGTGCTTCCATTTAAATGTTTCATGTGCACAAAAAAGGGGGATTCTTTAAAAGGTTTTCTCACTTGGTAGGAATTTTTATGTAATTTTTACAGACAGCATAATGTTTTCAATTTTTATTGTATACATACAAGTTTCATAAAATGTGAAATATGTATTCATATAGAAAATTCAATCTTATTTTTATATTTAACAACTATTTTTTTTTCAAAAAGACCTTTAACTGATTTTAATCTTTCTATAATACTTACTGTGAATTCATATCTTCTACTAATTGGGTGAGCTTTTTCCAGGGATTATACTCAGAGTCAATGCTATAAAGCCGCATGTGTAAGGCTAATACATGAAACAGCTGATCTAAATAAATTGAAGAAAACATAATTAGAAAGTTTACATAATTCTTCCAGAATAAAACTTTCTCAAAAGTGCTAGTTAATTGATAGGGAAATCTACTTCATACCCTGCCCATTATAATTCATCAAGTTTAAACTCCAACTACTTTGCATTTAAAATGCCTCTAATGCCAGACAACTATTAAATACACAGAATGAAAACCTATAATCATGATCAAACAGTTAAAAACTAAAAAAAAAAAAAAAAACCAACAACAACAACAATATATTATACACCAGCTATATGCATGGCATTTTAAAAATTGAAAAACAATTGTATCTAGAAACCCTACTGTCAAATTTCAGAAAATAACAGCAAAAAGAAATTTCTGGTACAATACTTTTCTTTTTTTCTTTTTCTTTTTTGGTACTGGGGATCGAACTTGGGTCCTTGTGCTTGCGAGGGAGGCGGCAGAACCACTGAACTAAATCCCCAGCCCTGGTACAATACATTTTTAAATTGTTAGTTGCAGGTATAACTCCATTCTGGTAAGATACTTGTTAAATTGTTAGTTTAGGCTTTATAGAAAGAGTTTGGAAATGAGTAACATTATTAAACAAACTTACAGGTGTACTATGATTTCAATTTATGTGTAGGAGGCACCACTGTCTGATAGGAGCCAAGAAGTTCTATTCTGGCCATGAATCCCTAAACAAATTACTTTAGTTTTGTTATCTATAGAAGGACCATAATATCCTCTTTCTGGGCTATTCTACAGTAATCAGTTTCAGCAACAGCTTACATCTGTAGTATATGTATGTGCGTGCACACATGTGTATGGTATGTTTACACACATGTTTTCTATGAAAAATTCCAAATGTGAAATAAACTTAAGGAACTTGAGGTTTTACAATTAAAATTACAGGTTATGATACATTAGAAAAACAAGGTTTTAATATAAAATTACCACTCTACAAGCAAATATTAACATACATTTTTAATTCTCCTGTTTCTTCTCTAGTTCCTCCTGTTACTTTATATGCTATTCTTCTAATGAACACTAAAGAGTGACCTTCTCCATAAAAAAGGAGAAAGATCCTTTCTTAATCCTTTCTCTCTTATTCTGCATAACTACTTCACTGAAGCTGTATCTTCTACTTCTACTACTGTAATTCAGAAAGCTCTGTAGTATTTCAAAATCAATATATTCAAAACTAACCTGATTCCATATTCCTGCCCAGCTGTACTTTCGTTTCCTTTTATAGTCTTTGAGTGAATGACACCACTGCCTATGCAAACATCCAAGGAAAAACTTGAGAATCATTTCCCACATTCATATGTAACTGATTATCGATCCTACTGATTCAGCCTATAATCCACCCTCTTCTCCACTATGCTGCTACATCAGTTTTTCACCTGGTTTATTCAACGGATTACTCACTGATGCCTTTTGTCTCACTGTTTCCAATCCCTCTATTCAGTAAATCTAATATCTCACAGTTCATTGGCGGACCAGTGGAAAAATTAGGTGTAGAAGTCCTTCAACAAGCTAGAAGCTATCTTCTTTTTTGGCCTACTTCTTAACCTTCCTTCTTCCGTAAGTATCCCCCAAAGTACCATGTCTCACTCTGTCATTGCAAGATGTTGTCTCAGCCCGCATTAGTGCTATACTTTCTAGTCCTCCAAATTCAAGCTGGCTTTTAAGAGCTACTCCATGTTCTCCTCTGCAAGATTTTCCCTGTTATCTCAGAAAAATATTATCCCTTGTTTTATACATTTTGTATATCTCGAGCTCAATTTCAACAATTCTGACACAATCTTGTAAATATTTTTCACTACTTCCTCTCCTATTAGTTGCTGAGCTCTTCATGAAGAAGATAATTGTATCTCTTCATCTTTGTTCCTCTAGGCTAGTACAGTGCTTTACACATGAAAGGATTTTCTAAAATTAGGGTGAATACTGTATGAATCAATCTATACTCCTATAAAAACATAAACATAAAACTCATGGTGGTTTTACTTTTATATTCTTCCTTTTCTGTCATAATGACACATTGGTTCAGTCACCAAGAAGTAGGCCAATTAATCAGTTCTAATTTCACTGCACCAAAAGAAACTGACCTCTCAACTCTGATTACTAAAGCAGTATTTGACCTATTTGCTCCTATCATCTTCTTTCCCACACTGGCTGCTGCAACAGCTCATCTGAGACAAAGAATTCTATTTTCTTCAATATCTAATTAAATTCTTTAAAACTGTGACTAGTCTAATGTATTAAAATATGCTTAATCACAAGATTAATCATAAGACACATCATTACCAAAACTGAGAAGATAACACTGAAAGGCCAATTTGTTCTTAAGAAAAACCTAAGATTTAATTCTAAGAACTCTTAGGTTGAGTTAAAAAGTAAAAATAATTCTATCTCTAACAACATTTTTAAAAGCTATTTTATAAAAAAAACTATAAAATATTCATTGATAGTTAAGAGTCTTATATATACACACATATAAAATATTTTGCTAATATTTACGACCTCAGGAAAACCCACTTAACTCTAAGTTGTTGTATGTTAAAATCTGATTTTGAAATAGATATTCACTGAGCTTGTTTATCAACTTCAAAATTCTATGTCTCTGTCAGTTACTTCTAAACAATTAAGAAATCTAAAACATGTTTTTCTTAGTATAACTCATGCTAATCATTAAGATATAATTAAAGAGAAAAGTTATACTACTTATGTAAATTTTCATTCTATCTTAAATTGTACTACCATTAAAATGTACTGAAGGTAAACTTAACTGGGTCTGTATTCAATATTTTCATATTATCTGTGTACTCCTCATTGGTTAAATAACTGCCATGAAAAAATTCTCATCTAAGAAAATGATACTCTCAATATCACTGGAGAGAAAAAGACCCATTTTTTTGCAACTAAATAATCAAAGTTAGGGCCAGGGATTTAGCTCAGTGGTTCTGCCATCTGCCTTGCAAACGCAAGTAGCTGAGTTCGATCCCCGGTACCAAAAAAAAAAAAAAATCATCAAAGTGAAGAAATAGCCCTCGCCCACTTATCCCAGGTGTGCACATGCACCTCTCACAACACAGCTATTTTCTCCTGGCCCCTCCATACATCCCTGAGAAATCTGCCATGGAGAAACAGAAAAAGAGCACTTCAAATAAGGTCCCAGACAGCTCTAAGAAAAAAAGGAACATTTGTAACTCAAGAGACAGGAGGTTCACATCCTAGAGTGACAGAGCTGACTCACCCTTCCCTATCCTGCTCCTCAGCACTCCAGGAAAGGCATGGCAGGAAGTCAAGTGGAGGTTATGGTGACATTTTAAAGGAGTAAGGACAAATTCACTAATTACTATGATATGTACTAAAATAACATACAAAAGTACTTTAGCTCCTTTATCTAATGTCATTTGAGTTTTACAGTAACCAGATACTCAGCATAGGTATTATTCCACAATATAGTACAAACTTAGGTGACTTTCCTAAAGTCTAACAGATAACAATAGGACCAGAATCTACAGCTAACTCCAACCTACTATTCCTTCCAGCGCTGTATAGAAATGCTGCCTCTAGTCAGTAAGGGCATCCATAAGTGTGAGGGTAGAATGGGATGTTTTGCTTACTTTGAAGAGGGTTTATTCCCTCTATCAGAAAGAAAAACACTGAAGGCCAGGGCTGTCTTTAGTACTTTCCTACTTCTCTGCTGTGTTCCTCCTCTCCTGCCTCCTAGAGTACTATGCCTCCACTCCCAGGCAAACTGTGCCTCTGTTCTATGGTTATCCCTTTTACAGATATTAATATTAGCTTCATCAAACTCTTCTCCTTCTACTTAAGGTTTAAGTGGCTAGCAGCCTCCCTTTTCACCTGTACAACATGGCATTGAGCCAAGGAAACAATCTTTGCACAATTCTGCAGTCGTAGAAGATGAGAAAGCTAAGTGTTTAGGACTTCCCATCTCCTCTTTACCCAAGAGGACAAGCTCTATGAATCCAGGTCGTATTTAAGTGCCTCATTTAAAACAGATGATGAGGAGTGGGGTGACTGTGTCCAGTCTCACTACAGAAAGAGTCGCCTTGCCCTAAGCTAAGTAAAATCTGAGGACCTCTAACCCTTACAGTGGAAGCACTTGGATTTCTGAAATGTCCAAACTATAAATGCAGAAAGGCTTGGCTGTCTAGACTACAAAGCACAGAATTTTCAGAAAGCCTTTAAATAGTTAAAGCTACTCCTCTAACTCAAATTTTCAGATCACATTCTTAGCCCTCTCAACACAAGCCTCCCAAATTAACAATGTATTTTTTTTACAATAGATAAAATAATATGATGGAAATAAATCTCATCCAGTTTTCCTAACCTCATCTCTTAATTGATCAATAAATTAGGTGTTTAAAAAAAAACCTGTAAAAGATTGATCTCTCAGTCCTCAAATCTGCACTTTGTAATCCTAACCCCTAAGGCAATGCTAAGAGATAAGGCCTAGAAAATTAGTGCCCAACAACAAAATCGAAAGAGATCCCTTCCCCTTCCACTATGTGCAGTTATGGTGAGTAGACAGCTCTCCATAAGAAAGCAGGTTCTTTCAGACACTGAATCTACTGGTGCTTTGATCTTGGACTTCCTAGCTTCCAGAATTGTGAGAAATAAATTTTTGTTGAGTATAAGCCACTCAGTCTACTGTATTTTGTTACTGCAGTTTGAACAGACTAAGACAAAAATTAAGCTAAAAATTAACTAATCATGCTTTGCATCCTTACCATACACTCCCAATTTGATAATGACAGTGTTGCAGTAGTAGAAATAGTAATGACAAGATTCAGAATCTACAGGGGCTTGAACTTATGTTGCGAAAAATGAATTACAATTATTCCCTGGCTAGGCATTACGAGATACAGAATGCAACATGTTAAATAACTTACCCTAAAACATCTGGCCATTAATAAAGAAATAAGTAAGATTCAAACCCAAGTACTTAGTCCTGAATCTCATCTATCTAGTCTACATTATGCTGCCTTTTACTACTATCCTTTAAAAGGCTTATCAATGGCCAGGGATTTAGCTCAGCGGTTCAGTGGCCTGCCTTGCAAGGGCAAGGACCCGAGTTCAATCCCCAGTACCAAAAAAAAAAAAACCAAAAAA